AGAGAGAGGGGGGGGGTTAACTAGCACATCACTTAACATTAGGTTTTCTGCAGGGAGAGCTAGCCTAGCATTAGCAAGCGGGGTTCAAGTCAAGCAAACATGGCAGGAGATGAAGCCAGTGGCAGGTGGCGGCGGCTGCGTTTTACCTGTGTTGTCGCTAATGTGGTGTTATTCGTAGCCGTCCCTCAGCCCCCCACCCTCCTCCTGAGTGCGGCGGGTCTCGGTTTTCCCTCTGTGGTGCTGAAGGTGCTCAGTTACGGCGTTTTTTCCCCCCCAACAGGGCTCAGGACGCTGCCATATTCCTGATACCAAAAGTGTGCTACTGCGCACGCGCGAGGCCTGCCTGTCATGCGGCTGTCAGCTGATTGGTTTGTCTGGACCCGGAATTGTCCAGACAGCTGACCCGGGATCGGTTCTTGGTTGTTGTTTTTTTGGTGTTTGTATTGAGACGTACAGTCGAATCCGATCTCGGATCAGTTTATTTTGTGAAGCTAATGCGGACTAGAAAATCTTCGGTTTCCATTTGGGTTCATGAGCGACTGCATAGATTAGACCGAACATATTTTCCACGGAGCAAATGTGGACTGATGTTCACAATAATTTAATTTTGACAATGCTAAATTGGGCTTTGTGAATTGATCTGATGAAATGGTAAAACACTATTTGAATTTCTCTGCATGTTTTGCGTCTTGATATCTTATAGGAGGTTGAAAGAACACTTGAAGGGTAATAAAGGGTTTTTGTTTGTCTGTTTGTTTTGCAGCTTTCCAAGTGTCAGTGGCCTGCTAGGTAAAAGCATACACGAGGTAGTAAGGATTATCATGCCCTCTAGGGACACTGCCCCACCAATGCAGCAATACCTCTGGTCAGGGTAAAGTTCAGCCAGTCTACAGTATTTGTCAAGTTTAACTCCTACATGAAAGCTGAGACTATGGGATAAAAATGTACTTGCCACACATACACACATGCACATGCAGGCTCATACACAAATATGACAAAAAAAAGTGATAATTAAAAGTTATCAAGGTCAACTTATAAACACTTTGCAAAAATAATCTCTGGAGGTTCACCATTTACAGTAATATATATCAGCTATAGGTGGTTTGCTAGTAAAGGAGTCCCTCAGTTACTTGAAAAGAAAATGAGTACACACAATTTAACCTTAACCTAAACTCAGTAAATATATGTAAACAATTGTTTTTCCTATCCTATCCTATCCTGTGCCATCTGTAAGTTGCTGGTTTGTAAAAGCCCACAATGATTTATTGTAAGGCTTTTGTTTATTGTTTACATTTTGTGCTCTCATTTAATTATTTTCTTTGCATACTTTTGCTCTGCAATGACCCACATTCTTCTATAATTTAATTTCACTGCCAGTTTGCCAGTAGTAGTTCATAGACGAGCTGCACATATGACATTGAAGGATTCCACTAATTCTGGTTCTGCAACAAGAGCTGAGCTGAATTACATGTGAATAAAGAAAAGTAACACCATGGTCTAACTGACCACTGTAGATAAGCAGCAACAACATATGGGACACTCACAAAAACTGAGAAGAGTAATCTATGACTTACAACCCTTCAGAATATGGTTTTAACCTAGTGGTGTCTAGTCCCTGTGTCAAATTTAAGTGACTCACCGCGATTGAAGGTAAAGGGGAAACATCTTGGCCTCTGTGACTGACTGATGTTGCACAGTGAACATGAGCGGGGCAGCACAGAGTGGTCACGTTATGAGGCATCTGATTAGGTGACCAACCATGCGCTGCCCGTTAGTCTAATTGAATTACAGCTAGAGAGACATGAGGGAAAAAAGTTTCCTTCTTTTTTCTTAGGAACCTCCTTAACAGAATGGATAGTGATGTCCTTTAGGCTCCAGAGACAGGGAATAAGGAGACGGTGCAACAGAGTCCCTATGAAGTTTTTATTTGGCTCACATGGAGTCAAATGAGTTTAACAGATGGAGAGGCAGTCATGTTGAGAGACAGGGAGATGTGGATGCTACATGATTATCAATGAAAAATGTATGAAGTTACAGAAGAAAAACACTAATCCTACAAAACATGCTGCTCATGTCTTAATCTGACTGAAATATGGTGTCAGATACGTCATTTTGGTTTGATCAATGGCCTGATTTTGCGACCCCAATCTTAAGCTTTTCCTGTTACTTAATACAACAACCAGTGAGTAGGAGGAAAATCACAACAGAAAATTAAAAGAAACTTTGTTAAGTGCTTTGTTTGGAATAATAACAATAGCATAGTAAATGTACGGTGAGGGTAATCTGGTTTAATAAGTAGTCTAAATAAGGAAATCGAACATACATAACTTAGAAGACTAAATGTCAGTAAAATGTCAAAATCAAGTGTAAAGTGTTTTAAAATGTCAAGAATAATGCTATGTCTTTTCTTATCATGGCTTCTTTTGTTTCGACAACATATTTTCTACTCTTATTCCCTAAGAGTCGAGTTCAAAACCACTTCCACATAACCTCACCCCTATACCCAAACAGAAATGGCCATAGCAATTAAATCAGTGTACGCCACGACAAGATATTCTGGTCCACTAGAGACTGCTACGCCCCTCTGAGCTTGGCTTTGCTGTGAACACATCTGTAGCAGGGCTTGAACATGTGAGGGACCTGGTGGTCACAGGTGAGAGAAGATGCTCCCAGTGCTGACTGCTGCTGAACAGCACAGGTCTGTACTCTCACTTACTCACTTACACACTTACTGTATGTAATACACTCTTGATATGTGCAATAGTATTACAAAAAAACAAAAAAAACACCAGTTTGTCACCAGTCTGTGCAATGCTATTCTTTTTCATTATTTATGCTTTTATAAGCTACTCTTTGCTCC